ACAGAGAACGTTTCAAACTTTGAGCTTTTTTGGGTGAGCAATCTTTTAGGGCGGATTACATCCAATGTGCAGATGTACAGATGTTCGGAAAGTCAAGGGAGCGCGGGGCAGAGATAAATTGTTTATTTTCACTTTAATAGTCAGTGCAGGACTGACAGCGACACATCTGCTTCCTCTTAATGGGGACGGAGGGGGGATGACAGGGGCTGGGGGAAGGGGGAGGCGGTCCAGACCTGGATTTAAACCACCTCACTTTACCTGATATTCTCTCTTTTTCGCTCCCTTCTGCTTTCTCGGCAAGTGTTTCGTCCTTCAGCGCCCAGCACAGTGGGAGCACAGATGGCCACAGATGGGGCTGCAGACCTAGCAGACTTCCTAATGTATTAAAAAGTGAAATCCCTCGCCTGGTGTGTTATGTGTGAGCCCTGTCCCTGTAGCTGTTCAGATTATACAGCTGTCTGTAATCCCAAAGAGGGAGTAAACAGACTAAGCGGCCCCGCTATCCTCATCTTTCTTCCTTTATTTCCCCCCGCCGTCCATCCCAAAGAAAGTCAAGTGACCCGAGCGGCTTCGGGAATGCCTTCGCATAGTCTCGTTAGGGTTCACTAAACACACCCACGCACACGGCGTGGCACATTTCTTACAGTGATACTGCACATTTAATCAAAGAGGAGGTTTACTAGGCCATATGGCAGGCTCCCCACAGGAAACTTTGTCAGCACGGGTGGCTTGTTTATGTGGTTCGGCTTCTTTTAGACCAGAATATCTGCGTCTATTTATACCAGCCGCTATCTCCGAGCTGGTGTGTTTATGTTGCGAGTGTCTAGCACGGGGAGACCGCCCTCGTGCTTTTGAGGATCATCATGTCGACGACCCTCATACGGCATACTCCGCGGTGACACTCTTTAAATAAGGACGGCAACTGCTGCGGCGCTTCTCTGTGACCTCCCAGAAGTGCAAAAGGGCTGAAGCACACTTGGGGGCAAGAGTTTTGCCAATGAAATAAATGGGAATCCTTTTTGAATCAATGATGATTGTTTTGCGATGAAAAGGTGTTTTATCAGCTGTAAAGCAGATCCCTGAGCACAGGGGTGTCAAACCCATTTTACTTGCGGGCCGCATTTTAGTGATTGTTTCCCTTGGAGGGCTGTTCTGACTGAAATCAGAGAAAAGGCGTCAATAAAAACGGTTTATTCAACTGTTGTGGAAGTTACTGTCATGAGAGGTTTGGTCGCGAGAGAAAGCTTACAATGTCTCTCATATTTGTTACATAGGAGAATTTGACATTTCGGTGCAAATTTTAGGAAGCATCATGGAAGTTGATTTGCTTTCGCGGGCCACATAAAATGATGTGGTGGGCCAGACCCGGACCGTGGGCCTTGAGTTTGACACCTATGCATTAGCACTTTACAGATGGCATGAAAAGACCGCTGGGGATTTCAAAGCCCCTTCGGGTTTGTGTAGATTTTATTTTTCAGCGGAATGATCAAGATCATTTTAAAGGCCGATCTCATGACAGCTTGGCGTTTTCAAAAACTCCCACCCAAAAAACGGATTTTTTTCGCTCTCTAAGTTCTGCTGAAACATGTGACGCGTCATGTATGTCATGGCCGAATGTCGTGTTGTTCCTCGGAATATTTCTGCCAAGCGGTCCTTTTTCAGCGGCCTTCTTTCGGTTGCAAATGTCACACTAAGTGCTCGCTGTCGGGTTGCGGCACGCCTGGCTGGAAGACGCGCACCTCCCAAGCTGTTCAAGTCACACTTCTGGACTCAGGTTATGACGTTACAAAAACATCTGGCTGCCAAAACCTGAAAGGGCAATGCAAGTATTGAGAAAAGCAAAAAAACAAACAAAAAAAAAACACACTTCCACCAATGCATCACAAACAATCATGTGGTCGAGTGCCGAGCCCCTCTACAACGTTTGGTGGCAATCAATGAAGTTGCTCAAGTCACGATTGCATCATGAACACACAAACAAACTAACGGTGCTCAAAACATTCTCCTCTGTGGCATATTTGAATGATGTGTGTATGTTTGTAGACTACAGGCATCCAAAAAGATCCCCCCCGGCCCCAATCCACCCTCATCCACTTTTCCTCTCCGGCGTACGGCCGTGCCGTCTATTTGCTTGACACGAGCCAGCCTGCTCTTGCCTTGTTTGGTCCTGCCAGAGGAGAACGGAGCCTCCGCTAGCGGGATGGATCTCTCCTGAAAGTCAGTCCCCCAATGATGGACAGCAGCAGATCCAGCTGCACTTGTCACTGGCCGTCAAGTTGGCCGTCCGAAGCGCGGACGAGAGGGGACAGCCGCGCAGGAGAGTGCGCGGGTGTCCGCGCGGGTGTGCGCGTTTGTGTGTGAGTGCCATAGGTTAGATTGGAAGGGGCACTGATTGGGATGTCAGAGCTACACGGTGTGTGTGAAGGAGAGTGAAGGGTTGGCGGTGGAAGGGGTTGGGTGGGGAGGGGGGTTCTCAGTCAGCAGCAGCTGAGTGGGTGAGCAGGTGTTACTGTATGTCTCCCAGGCCTGTGTTTCTAAAACCAACAGAGACACAATACACATTTGAGGCCATTTCCACACTGCGCATTGATTCGCTTCGGCTGTTTTGATGGGGCTTATGTTCTTCGGAAACTTGGCTCCCAGGTGACAATGTCAGTGCTTTTTCAACATGTTTTTGTTTTGATGTTTTGTATTTTTGTTTTCACGCTAATGCTCCACCTTGACGTTTGTTCTCTCCGATTCTTTTTTTTTTTTTACTTGTTGCCAGGTAGCAGAGTGCAGAAGGTTGGAACAATGCCAGATTCACCTGCGGATGTGAAAAGCCAGCCCAGGTCCACCCCACCAACCATGCCTCCTCCACCCCCGGCAGTCAACCAAGCAACCAGTCGTAATGCTTCTTTCACACCCACCACCAGTAAATCAAGTAAAAAAAAAAATATATATATATATATATATATATATATATATTTCTTCTCTACTTTTGTAAATAATACCTTAAATATCGTTCATGTGTTTATTTGGAATCGCTCACAGTTCGGGAGCTATTTGGGTTTTGTTATGTTTTGCTTCATGCTCACGTTAGCAAGCAATAAATGAAGCATGTGCAAGAACAAACTGGACTCAAGCAACTTTTTACATACAGTAGTTCATGCAAGGGTGGCCCGGTGGTCCAGTGGTTAGCTCGTCGACCTCACAGCGCAGAGGTACCGGGTTCAATTCCAGCTGCGGCCTCCCAGTGTGGAGTTTTCATGTGCTCCCCGGGCCTGTGTGGGTTTTCTCCGGGTACTCCGGTTTCCTCCCACATTCCAAAAACATGCATGGCAGGCTGATTGAACACTCGAAATTGTCCCTCGGTGTGAGTGCGGATGGTTGTTCATCACTGTGTGCACTGCGATTAGCTGGCAACCAGTTCAGGGTGTCCTCCGCCTACTGCCTGAAGACAGCTGGGATAGGCTCTGCCACCTCAGCAATGCATGCAGGAAGTCGCAAAGCAAACCTCACCAGGCGGATGATGTCAAGTTCACAGACTGGTTAAGTGGACACTTGGCAAAAAAAAAAATCATTAAGATAATAATTTCGATTATGATTGTGAGAATTCAATTTAGGAATGAAATACGATGACATTCATCACATATTTTATGTCTGCCTGGGCCAATAGTTAGACTTGATTCCAGCAGGTTGAAAAGTTGAGCCGCCTTCCAGCCACCAAATGCATGTCAAAGGAAATGAATGCCCTTCTTCTGCCAGAACGGCCATCGTGGTGCAGAGCGGTCTGCCAAATTCTCAAACGGGTCAAACGAGGCTTGCGCCATCACAATTTTAAAAACATTATCAAGAAGCACTATTCTCACTTCATAATTGGCTTGAAATAACTTGAAGCAAGGTAAAGTTCTGCTCCGCAGTGATATTAGGTCATCGTACATCATGACGATCAAGGCTGTGGTCATTCACAAGCAGGTCGTCTAAGGGCAGCGTGTTCATCTTATCGACCCCAATTTGAATGTATTATCGCTAATATAAAGTTTCCTATGTGGAGAGAGGAACTAAAAAGAAATTCCTCGCACAGATCTTTTCAGCCTTGGCTTTGTGTTTAAGATACCATCTCAGCAATGCTGCTAACTTTAAGTGCATGATTGATGTGATGCAGCCAGGAGAGAAAATGTAATTATACAGACGAGAGATGTTTGCTGTGACGATCTCTACCTTACGAGCGCCCTCACATCATTAAGCAGAGATTTATTTATTTACCTCCGGCTCACCATATCAGTTCTGGTTCATTCTATTTAGGTCATTGACGGAGTTGAAGTCACGCCTTTCAAGTTCTCCCACTCTACAGTTATCCAAGCGTGCATTTATGCACCTTGTTTTGCGCACTGAGTGAGGCACAGCCGGGTCGGAGTACGAAAGAGCCGCGTCATGTGCACGACGTCGCCATCGGTCTCTCATCGGTCTTGAACACACTCGTGTCAAGGGATCCTCCGAAATGTGTGCTTCGGAACAGTTCATTCGGAACAGTGTCGACGCTACTTGAGCGTGGAGTGTGCTCCTCGGTGGGCGTGTCTTTTGTCGAGCTAAATGCCCTTGCTGTTGACAAGTGTCTCTGAGTGCACGTGTGAGGGCGGCTGCAGCATTTGCGTGCGCGCGCACGTGTGCCTGCGTTGCTCGCCAGCTGGTAGGAGGGGTGGCAGGGCAGAGGGCATCGGTCAGGCTGCCGTTGCTGTGGGGAGGCTACTTTCTTCCCGATATAGCAATGTCAGGCCACATTCTTTCACCTGTTATGGCGCGCAGGTAGCCGTGCGGCGCCATAACAGGTCAGTAAAACCAGAAAACAAGTTTTGCCTGTTCGGAAGGTCCCCACGTTTTCATGCGGTTGCACACTTGGAGAGTAAAATGGGCTGCCGCACTGATCAATGTTCACATACGACGTTGTCGTTCCGAAACTCAAAGCTCCAAATCTGTTTTCAGACGGTGGACATGTGCGCCGCCACATTTAGCGACACACCTGCCACTGGAATAAAAGTAACGCAGGCCCCGGGACTATTTTTGGCACCTCATTTACAAGTTCCTCTTATAGTTGTGTCCTAGTGAGCGAGTCGGTAGGTGGGAGGGGGGGAGCGTTGGAGGGAACGGGGGGGGGGCGAAATCCCCAAATCTTTTTTCAGACGGTGGACATGTGCGCCGCCACATTTAGCGACACACCTGCCACTGGAATAAAAGTAACGCAGGCCCCGGGACTATTTTTGGCACCTCATTTACAAGTTCCTCTTATAGTTGTGTCCTAGTGAGCGAGTCGGTAGGTGGGAGGGGGGGAGCGTTGGAGGGAACGGGGTCCATCAGCAGGATGCGGCGTAAGCGCGTCATCGTCCCATCTTGCCCCCCCAGATGTAGTGGATGCCCCTCAGGTCTTTCAGACGCCGCTGACCTAATTCCCGTTGTCTCTCCCTTCTGTCTGTCTGCAGTGCTAAACGGGAGCAGCCACTCTCCCACATCACTGAACGGCGCCCCGTCCACTCCGAACGGCTTCAGCAAACGGCCCGGCC